GGAACTTCATAGATTACTGTTTGCAGGAGGAGCATGTAGTTCAAAATTCAGGAAATTTCTCTTATAAAAAGGTATTGGTGGATAACATCTTGTCTGATCAGATACCACACAGGAAAGATGATTAAAAAACCACAACCTAGGTTTAAATTTTTTTTGCAGCCGAATTCTATAAGTGTCTAGTGTGATTGACAGTTGTCATAGATTCAGTTTTAAGAGACTATGAAAGACAGCTGTGTGTATTAAATTTGTATTGCTTCAAACCAGGAACAAATAAAGACAGCCAAACAAGTTTAACATATACATATACATATTCACACTGTGATCAAGAGAACTCTTCTCATCTATTGACTGTAACCACACCCATTCCTATCCAGATGAAACAGAAGAAATTGTATCCTGTGCACATATTGGAACAGGTTTAAAAATATGTGGGTGGGGTGAATTATTCATATCTGGGGGAGCACATGGATTGAAAACAATCCCTGAGATGTGATTAAAAGATAAAAGCTGGGAAGTCACAAGAAGAAAGGAAATTTGCTAGGGTGCAGTTTTTCCATGGCTGGCACTGAAAGCTCTTTTTTCTGACAACAGTGGCTCCTGAGTCCACAGCATCATCTAGAGCTAAAGGAAAGCCAACAGTTGTGGCACACCACTGCTAGACTCCTAACAAATGAATAGATCGTGCATAAAAAGGCCATCTGTTCTGCTTCCTTAAGCTCAGGATTTCAAAAGACAATGATACAGTAAGACTCAGAAATCCACACTGGAAAGTGATGGGCCCTGGAGAACTGGCACATATGGCAGGCACAAAGCACTGCGTATGGAGTTAGCCACAGGGAATTATATTTTTGCCACTGATTGGGCAATGTAAAGAAAGCCATAAATGACACACGGCTCAGTTTAGCAATAGGAAACCTGATGCTGTGGAACAGCACAACCCACAGCTGGATAGGACTTGCTGAATTCAAAACAATTGGTGAGGAAGAAGCCAAGAGTTTTCAGGTTTAGGAAATGAAGCTGTCACGCAACTCGTGGACTGATTGATCATGGAGCCAACTGTCAAGGCTTGTTCTTTCTTCTCAACTCATTACCTAATTTGTTTTAAAGTATTTCTCACACCTGCTCATCATTGCAAAAAGCAATTCCAGTGCAGATAACAATAGCATATAGATTAGCATAAAATTGAACATAAAACAGTATACCCCATCTTTAAAATGATAGATAATTATAACCCTGAAAGCATCAGCTGTGGCATTATGTCCTACCTGGGTGGATAACCAAGTCCTTACCTGGCACCGAATGCTCAGCCATGTCAGTGCCAGCATTTTCTAAGAAGCAGATGCCCTCAAATGGTGATAATCACAATAGGAAATCAGCAGTTACTTGGCACAAAGAAGCAGACATATTAATGACTATCTGAACTCACTGACACCACAGACTGAAGCTGGTATTTATGTCAATACCCTCTTCCCATGGAAGTCTGGGAACTTAAGTTCTGTGAGGAATGCTAGGGATTTTAAACAAAGAATTCTCAGCACCCCCAACAAACCACAAATCCGGGGGGTGGGGGGGTGGGAGGATACGACAATAGTTGAACCGATATAAAACCAATATAAGCTTCTAGGGCAAATCTGTCTATTGCAGATTGCCACATGTTGAAAATCATGCCATGTGTTGTGTCGCCTCAGCTAACTTGTTTAAACTTGAGAACTGCTTTCTGAACAGAAAGGTTTTCAAGGAGATAACTGAGTAAGAGCCATTAATTTTACTGAGTAGTAGATCCTTTGCTCACAGAAAAACTAGAAACCTACGTTTGTATAAAGCAGTAATGGAGAACCTGGGGTCCTCCAGATGTTGCTCTGAACATTCTGACCACATCTCTGGTCATGACTGGCTAAGGTTAATAGGAATTCTACTTCAAAACAGCTGGAGGACCAGAGACAGGATCCCCACTGCTGCTGTAACAAGTCACATTTAGAAGTCAACAAAGAATGGGCTGCCAGCTCAACCTGGAGGGTCAATGAGAGTTGAAGCCCCTGATATGCTAGGATACAAATTGCTGGAGTATTCTTTTCAACTGGCATATACTGTATTGCAGTGGGTTCAGGATTCAGGACCTTCAGTAATATTCAGTTTCTGAGAGTATGTCTGGAGAACTGGTAATAGCTGCTATTCATGAAAATTGCTACAAGGTCATGGTGATCCATGATCCCTGAAAAAACTGTATATTAGATCAATGGGAACTTGGATGATTAGTGCTGGAACTGAGTATTAGAAGTTATATTCATACACAGCGACTGTGTAGCAAAGCAAAGGAATGCTGGCCAAACAAATAAGGAACAAAATAGAGATAATAACAAAAGTACAATCAGACTGAGTTTTATTTTTGCTAATTCCAAAAAAGGGACTGTACAACAAAGATAACTGATGTCTGAGAGGATTGTAGAAGCAATACTGGATTCCGCTAAATACTGTGACAATTATTCAATTGTCACCAGTAATAGAAACAGAAGCAAAATTATTTGGCAAAACATACAAGTTATTTGGCAAAACCTACAAGCTATATAAGAGTGAAAGGAGGAAGGCAGAAACTTAGTAGATTTAGACAGAATTGGACACCATTTATTGACATGCCAAGATCCAAAATATATGAAACGTTATAATGTTCAATATTTCCAATTACATTTTTAACTTCCCTATTTTTTGTTCATAATTTGTCATTTCAATATTGTATGTTGCTTGTTTTATAAAATAATAAAAATATTAATTAAAATGGGGAAATGGTTTTCAAGAAAAATAAAAATAAGACAGGATCCTATCCAATAAGACAGGATCACAATACATGGGTGATGGAGCAAGCACAGGTAATGCACACACTTTTGTAAGGGTTCGTTTGGTCCATTTCATCCTCAAATCTATTTCTGAAAGCACAAAGCAATGAAGATATGAATGTGTCATCCTGAATCCCAACAAAAGCACGCATTACAGCTTTAGGAACCATTGCCAGCCATGTGTTTGAATAAAAAGAAAATTTATGGCATAATACGAAAGGTAGACACGAAACCTTCAGAGGATGTTGAGTTGTCAAAATCAAATTCCTTGTTTCTCTTTCCATGCTTTATTGAGTAATGGGTATTTTCCACAATCTCAACAACAGCCCTGGACAAACTTCCTTGTGTGTTTCCCAGCACTTCATTGTCTGTTTCTTGTGTGATTCCTCTAGTTAGAGACAGAGACGTGTAGATGGGGCGGGGGAAAGCAAGGAAAACAGAGTGGGTTCCCTATACACTCGCCTATGCCAGGCCTTCACATCTCTATAACAAAACAGCAAAAATTACACTATAGCTCTGTGTTTTTTTAGTAATTTGGTTTCACCCAGCCCACAAGCTGTACCAACTGTCTTTTTTGTGCACTAAAATAGTCTGTCCCTGTCTTGGCCATGTTTTAGAAAGACATAGTTTTATAGGAAGGCTGCCTAGGATTGCACTGACAAGTGGAGGCCATACAGGAGAGGCATACAAGCAAGGCATGATGGCAATCTGCACACTATGTCTATTTATTATTATTTATATGGCACCATCGTTCAACGTGGAAGTAAGAGACAGGACCTCATCCCAATAATGTTATACTCTGACTTTTGATGATGGAGGAAACCTTTTTAATGTGTTGTTTTATTATGTTTTGATTTATGCTGGAAGCCACCCAAAGTGGCTGGGGCAACCCAGTCAGATGGGAGGTGTATTACTACTACAATGGCGACTATTACTACTACTACTACTACTAATAATAATAATAATAGACAGGGAAAGCCAGGCACTTTTGGCCATCATCAAATTACTAGTCATGAGACTGGGGATGGGTGATTGATGTTGAAGCAATAGACATCGGGGGGTAGCACTGAACACATTAGCAATGATTGTTATGGAATTATAACCTGTTGCAATACCATTTAGATTAGATAAATTAAGGGAGAATGCCAGAAGCCTTTCAGCAGCTATTAGCTATGATGGCTGGGAATGGAGCCTCCACATTCAGTGGCATTATACTGCCAAATATCAGGTGCTGGAGACAAAGGACAGGGGAATGAGGGTCATCTTTAGACCCTGTTTTGGAGCTTCAAGATAGATATGGCTGGCTATAACTAGTTTAATCTAGTTTATAGTGGGTCCTAGTTTAATGAAGCAAAGCAATTTCTTGTATCAACATTATTGTCAGTATTAGTGTAGGCATTTCATAACGACCCACTGGGCAGAATAACAAGTCTGCCAAAACTATATACCTTCTGGTCAATTCCCTTTACAAAAATTTATTCCCTCCCCAGGCAGCCAGCTTCAAACATTTATGCGCACCTGTGAGAACGTTTTTTCTCTCCTTCGATATTCTGCCGCCACCACTGCACTGCATTGTGCTGACTCCAGTTATTCTCCTTTGCTCAGTGTTTAAATGCAGCAACCAAGCAGAAACACACAGCCCACCCATGCCCCAGATGAGCAGAAGCCCAAAGGCCACATCAGCATTTTGAAGGCTGAATCCAGCTCCATTGCAGTCTGACACACAAAATCAATAAAAGCAACCCAAACATACCAAACACGCCTAAACCAAAACCCCACACGTACATGGGAAACCCACATTGCAATATATGAGCCTGCATGTGAAATTGTCTCATCCTTCCAGTACCTATATTGCATAGTTAGCAATGAGAAACCCATAGGGAGGAATTCAACATTGCACTCAGGGCATGCATTTCTGCTTGCCAGATGGAATGATTCCCCCTCCTTCCACGGCACACTGTCATGGGGATTGTCCTGTGGACCCTCAGAACCCATTTTTGGGGAGGCACAGGGGGAAGAGAGAGGGGCAAAGCCCCATTGTGCAAGCAGAAGTCCTTGTACAGGGCTTCCACTGATGGGACTCATTAATAGAATCCTGCCCTATTAGTAGCAGCATTGTTGTTATTATTGTATTATAAACTGGCCGGGTTCACGTCACATTAAATCTTTTGCCAAACATGGGGCTTGAACCCACAACCCTGAGATTAAGATAGCTCATGCTCTACCGACTGAGCTATCCCAGGAGATATGGTAGCCATCTTCAAATATTTAAAGAGCTGTGGCATGGAATATGGAGCAAGCTTGTTTTCTTCGGCTCCAAAGGGTATAGGACCCAAACTAATGGCTTCAAGTTCAGGAACATAGCTGTCAACTTTTCCCTTTTCTTGTGAGGAATCCTATTTGGAATAATGGAATTTCCCTTAAAAAAAGGGAAACGTTGACAGCTATGTTCAGGAGTAACTTTCTGAAGGTAAGGGCTGTGGTGGACTCTCCTTCATTGGAGGCTTTTAAGCAGAGGCTAGGTGGCCATCTGCCACGGATGCTTAAATTGAGATTCCTGCATTGCAGGAGGTTGGATTAGATGCTTTTCAGGGTCGCTTCCAACTTATACAATTCCATGATTCTATGACTTAGTATGCACCCCAACCTGGGGCTGTAAGGTGCAATGTAAGTTATAAATATGCATAATAAAGAAATAAACTTTGCTTTGGTCTAAAATGCCTGCATATGTAACAGCATCTTCAGGGTGTGTGCCAAAGTTAGTTTTCTCTGGGGTGTGGAAATGTATACAGCATTTTAAAACTTCACTGCACCTTGTGCTAGCCCGTGCATGTCTATAATGGGGCTCAACAGGGATTAACTCTCACAGGAAAGTAAAGGCTTAGGCAGAAAAATGTATTTGTCTAAGGCTTTATTTGACTAAATATTTCTTTGTTCGGAACTGGCAAAATTTGTCATAACTCTTACAAAACTGATTCACTGTTTATGGCTTCTGGTCCCAATAAAAGGAATTCATTGTCAATTTGTGAAAAACATTCCTTCTGAACAGGATTGTTATCCTGCACAGTCCTCCATTTTCTTAATATACTTTTTGCTCAAACGTCCGAACAGCGGGGAACTACAAACTTACTCAGTGAACAAAGTAAAAAATGGAGCAGCTTTAGAATTGCTTCATTTAATTGTTTAATTTGTCTACTGCATAAACAACATTCATTGTGCTTCTTAGCAAAAAAAGAGAGAAATTAAACAGCAGAGAGGACAGAACGCATACTGCAGCAATCCTATGGAACCTGAAACATTTGGTTAGAAGCAGCAAAATGGAATTATCTACGTCAATATTCTACAAATAGCTATAGCAGGCATTGAAAGAAATCATACACAGCAAAGAAGTGTAAAATGAGTGGTAGGAGACTATTTGAAATCCCCTCAGTCCACTCAGAATTTGAAACCACCTATTTAAGTTGCACAACAAACACAGAATTACTGATAAAACTGCCTTGCAAGCTCAAATGAAAGTAGTGCAAAAGCCAGAAAGAAAATTATGCCATTGTCTAAAATGAGCTTTCAGGTCCTAGGCATCTGCAAATACTAGTAAAGAAAAAATAAAAATAAAATAAAGACTATAGAATTTGTCAGCAATTGCCTAAGTCAGTACTTTTGCTATACTAGAGTATAGTACATATCTTCTGTGAAATATTATGAATATTATGTTTCTAACTAAGGGAAATGGCTCATAATTCAGGAGATGCAAAACACGGAGTGAATGCCTATTTTATAAAATGATCGTGTGATGTGATGCATTCTTACATCTTGGTTATATAGACCAACCGTACTCAATATCTGACGCTAACAGAGGGCTGTAGTTTGCATTGTTTGCAACTACTGTATGTAGTAAAAAGCCAATACCAGATCCTACACCATGCCTCTGAAATGCTTTAAACCTGGAGATGGGCACTTTTCTCTACTTGCCTGAGATTGACATGAATATTATTATAAGCATTTTTATTTTAAGGAAGGAGCTCTAATCATTCCACAGAACAATTCAAGGTTCAAAAAACTACCTCTCCACTTAAAGCTCACCCTTCCTTTTAAGCAGGCATTCATTACCCCACCCCCAACTTCTTCTCACAATAAGGCTTGTGAGAACTTTTACTGACATCTCTAGAGAGGTACCTTGAGGATCCAAATTTCACCTGTGAACAAGATTATATTCACCAAATCTCATCCAAAATGTCAATGTCAATTGAGTCTTTCTGTCTCCCTAACTCTTACCAATAATGGTCCTAACAAAATAACATGAAAAGAACTTAATCTCAAGCACTTTCCCTGATAAGCACATTCTACAGGCTAAGTACAAGAGTCAAACAAAAAATAATACCCTACCATAGATATTAGTTAGGGGCATAATTAATGTACATCTTAGCCAAGTTGCTATTATAATATTTATTGTTTTGCCACATTCCTGAGGCAAGTACAAGCTTAGAGAGTTTGTACACATGTCTGCACATTGTGGATATACAAATGTACATGCCTTCATATGTATACATAGTAGTGAGTTTTTCCACTACAAAACCTTATTCCCACGGGTGCACATAGGATCATGTGCAGAGTGCTATATGCACTTCCTTTTGGGATACATATTGTCAGGGAACTGCCATCAGTGTCCGAGGGAGAGAGCAAGCTCCAAAGGGATCCCAGAGAGCGTCCCGGGAGTGGGAGAGGCAGCCCGTCTTCTGGGGAAGAGAATCAACGTAGCTCCAGTGAAGAAGGGGGGCAGATGGGGGAATTGGCGAGGCGGTCCCATGACTCCTTGCCAGGGACCAGTGGGGAGAGGAAGGGTCCTCCGCTGCCTACGCCCTCCTTGCGCAGAAGGCTTCCGCGCAGGGAGAGTAGGAGGAGACTTGGCGTCAAAGAGCTTCTTTGCTGGAAGAAGTTTAAGAAACGCCCACTTACGGATTCTGCCATCGATTGAGACAGTCACGGGCGAGTGGCTGCCCGGACAGGAAAGGTTCACTCAGGCAACCCAGCCAGAGGTTGGGACAAGCTTACGCATGAGCAACCCCTAGAACCATTACACATATGAAAGAAGGTATTTCAAGTAACCTATTCCCAAGCAATTTAGGGTTTTAAAGGTTAAAACAAGCAGTTTAAAATGGGTCTAGAAACTGACTGGGAGCTAGCGCAGCTGAGAAAGTCATAGTACAATCCCAATTAACAATCTTGCTGTCCTATTTCAGACCAACTATAGACCATTCTAAAATGCAGGCCCCCATTTCAGTGGGTTGCAATGGTCTAAACGCCAGGACATGCATAATTGTGGCCAACTATCTCTCTAGGTAAGGTTGCACCTGGTGAATCAGTCAATGCTAATGAACCAATAATTGCTCCCAAATCTCAGATCCTTCTGCATCAAGTAAAAAACTAAATGAATGCCCCCAAAACTCAAAGACGGGAGCCAAAGTGTGAAAGAGTTGAGCAGCTTGGAAGGTTTCCATGAAATGAACCATTTCCTGAAACCTAAGACAGTTCCAAATTCAGTATTTGTAAGTTGTGGATCCTTTACAAAGCAATTCTAATTACAGAAATAAGAAACAAGTCAAACTAGTATTTGTCAAGGCTAAAATGGGAAGGAGCAAACAGGATATAACTAACTAACACTCTGTATGACGATGATGATGATGATGGTAAGCATTGGAGAGACTTTTCTTTTTTAAAAAAATCCTCAAGAGTAATTTAAAATACAACACACACTTGCTGATTTTTAAAGTATATATGCATGGTATGTACTATTCTGTTTTGTCTTAGCTTCCTAAAGCTTAAAATATACACTGAATATTTTCATCCCTTTGTGCTTCACAAAGTTGCCTTTTCTATTCCCTACAGAGTCTTTTTACTTTGGAACATGAAAGATCATAACAATGATTCCCCGTTGGGAGCAGACAAAACCCAGGTCTCCTTGCTGTTTCGTTCTGATCTGTCAGCTGCCTTTGATAACATCACCCATGAATTTTTTATGTATATGTGGACCCTGGCAAAGAGTAATCTCTGAGCAATATTTTATTTTTCTCTCTTACTTGCTTTAAGAAGGACCCTGATTATTATTATTATTATTATTATTATTATTATTATTATTACTACTACCACTATTCAGTTAAGAGGGTTCTTTCTTAGCAGCTTTAATTCTGTCACCGCTATTGGTTCACTACATACCTCAAAATCTATAATAAAGATATTATTTGGGAAAGGTGAACAGAACCATCTATGGCCGGTGCCACCAGGCTACACATTTTGTTAGAAATAACCCTCAGTGTGTTGACTCCCAACACTTAAAAAAACACAACTGACACTTGAACAGGAAAACAGGCATGCAGATGTGTTACAGAATTCTTACTGTGGGCATTTTTTCCCCTGTCTAAATGTCTCACACTGAAGACCCACCAAATAAGGACCCAGGGTGGTTTTCCACACCCACTGTGTGTGCTGGCATAATGTCACAATCTGCTGAACTGCACCAGCATAACTTTGAAGGAGAATCCATCACTGCCAAGTGTATCTTTTCCTAGATGTGAGTTTTCATAGCACACAGAAGGAAAAGGTGACATGTTGTCAATGGATAATGATGGGAGAAGGAGGGTAAGCAAAAAAGGGCCACACTAAAAGCCACCTCACCTTCATCTCTACCTTAACACAAAGCAGCTGATAAAAGCATAATAAGACCTTATCTACACCACATCATGAGCCCAGCCCAGCCCCGCAAAAATCCTTCCCTGTCCCAGTCCAATACTTGCCACTGCAACTTCCTTCAAGATGCTTCCATGACTTACATTTAAACAGGACAACACTGACCAGTTTCCCCTTTAAAACATGGGGGGGGGGGGGAGGCAGGATTAAACAGAATCCGTGAGGGAAAATTCTAGAGAAAGCTGCACTCAATTATTTATTTCTTTACATTCAAAAGGACAGTGATGCTTCATAAACTTATATGCCCCTATAAATCAATAGTGCACTGCTGTTTTAAAGAAGTTCATCTTCCTTTTGCACTATACAGTGGTACCTCGGATTACATACGCTTCAGGTTACACAGAAATAGTGCTTCAGGTTAAGAACTTTGCTTCAAGATAAGAACAGAAATTGTGCTCCGGCGGTGCGGCAGCAGCAGGAGGCCCCATTAGCTAAAGTGGTGCTTCAGGTTAAGAACAGTTTCAGGTTAAGAATGGACCTCCGGAACGAATTAAGTACTTAA